TCCAGCTGCTTCAGCTGTCTCCACATCTGGGAGAAGACTGGCCAAGGAATCCGGCACTGGTGGAAGCCAGTGGATGATGCAGCCCAGTGGTTTAATGCTCCCTGAGTCTTCCGAGAAGCTTCCTTGAACCCGCACCTTTTCTAGATGTTGTATGCTTTGCCTATCTCTGTGGCACAGTTTCCATGAAGAACACTTAAACATGTCTGGGACTTTTAGAGATCTTTGACAAAGAATGGTGAAGACATAAAGCGCACACAATGGTAAGTTCTTAAATCTATTTTCTGTGACAACCTAATCTGAATCCTAACATGGTAAACTAATGAATTAATACTATCTGACTTGAGGAATGGGAAGACTTCCTTCAGTCACTTCCCTCCCCATTAAAATATTGCCTAGACCATAGAGCTTATTTCTTATTTCTTTGCCTACCCACTCTCTTTTCTCCTTGATTTTTTTCTCCCATTTGGGGTGATAATCCAGGATGCTTGATTTTCCAGGTAGGCAGGTCCTCACATTGAATAATCACAATCTAAGAGAAGCGAAGTCTAAGTCTCCAAACTGAATCATTGTAGTTGCCTCCTCTGTAGATGCCTCCATGCATCATCTTTTGGGCTGATTTTTCTTGCTAGAACCTTCTGCACTCACCCGGCTTGGCCAAGCTGTCAACCCCTATTCTGGGGACTGTCATGGAAGCTGACATAAAAGTAAAGGAAGCCCTGGTTTTGGTAAGTTTCTAGTCTAGTCCTGTGTAGCCATAGTCCAGTCCAGGAAAAGGGTTTAATATTTAATTAGCAAAAGGGCAAGTTCAAATAGAATATTCTTATGCTAGGAATGGAATAAGCATACACTGAAGGAATTGAGAAGCAAGGAGCAAAGCTGCGCTGTGTGAGTTAAATTACGTGGTTTCCTGGAGGGGGTGAGAGTGAAATACACAGGCACTGGGGAGGCCGAGAGGACATCCTAGAGGGAAGGTATGGTTTACACGAAGCCATGCATGTTGAAACAACAGCTTCTGGGCAGAAGCAGCCAAGCTATTCAATTTAGCTAGAGCCAGGTTTTCATGTAAAGGGTAAAAAGAAAAGAGATTATGACCTGAGCAAAGCAGCTGACCGGGTAGCCTTAGACAAGTAACTATCCCTCTGGACCTCAGCTGCTTCAACCAGGAAATGAGTGGGTTAGTTGACTAGGGCACTGGGCGAAGGTCTCCATCAGAGGTGAAGAGAGTTAATAATTATGGGAGCAGTGTGTCAGGCACTCCCAACTCTCCTAAAAGATAGTCTTGTCCATCCCCATTTCAGAGATGAAGTATCTCGTCCCGAGTTTCGTAGACTGTGAGTGACCAAGCTGGGACTAGGGTTGAGTCAATTTCTTCATTCACTATGAATGGACAGGTTCCATTTACCAAGAACCGTGCCAGGCCCTGGGGGAGATAACAGTGAATGGGACAGATAGGGTCCCGCTTTCATTCTACTTGGGGTGTGGGGGAGGACAGTCAATAAAAAAGTGAAAATCCAAGTGAATAAAATAGGTTTAAGTAGAAGTACATGCTATGGAGAAAATAAAACATGGAATCATGGTCATGATTTGGGGCTTCTTAGGTTGGGTGGCCCAGGAAGGCCTCTCTGAGGAGGGGGCAAACTTGGGTGGAGACCGGAAGGACGGGAAGAGGTCTGCCTAGTTGGCAAAGGGCATAACTGGCCAAGCTGAGGTGTTTAGATTTGGCAGCATGGTGAGGCCTCCAGTCTTTCTTTTGGAGAAGGAGTTGCTTTTTATTTCTCAAAGATCTTAAGATGGTGGAGGACAGGCGGAAGCAAGCGGGTTGCAGTAGCAGAGTTCTAATATGGAAGTGGGGTGGCCAACGTGACCTTGGAAATTTAGGAGCAGTGCTGGGAGACGTTGCTCCCATTCACTTCCATCCCTTTCCTGTTAGCGTCACCAGAAGACTTCTGGTGTTAGCATCACCAGAAGGTGATGCTGGCAGTCATTTTGGAGGGCCAAATAAGGCTTGGTAATAATATTAATATTAATAATAAGAATGGCTAATGAGAACATTAACTATCAGATAACATTTAAGGACCATTCTTTAAAAGATTTATTTATTTTAGAGAGAGAAAGTGCATGAATGGAGGGAGGGGCAGAGGGAGAGAGAGAGGGGAAGCCAACTTTCGCTGAGCGCGGAGCCTATGTGGGGCTCGATCCCCGGACCCTGAGTTCATGACCTGAGCTGAAACCAAGAGTCAGATGCTCAGCCAACTGAGCCACCCAGGCACCCCAAGAAACATTTTTTATGTACCAAGCATGTCTGAGCACTTTTTAAGCATTAACTTATTTAATCTTTGAGGTAACTATAGGAGATGGGTAGTATTATCATCCTAATTGTAATGAAGAAGCTGAGGCTTAGGGAGGTACAGTCACTTCCCCAAGATTGCACAACTGAGATGCGTGGGGCAGGGATGCTCATCTGGGTCGTCTGAGCCTAGGCTCTCGATCCTCATGCAATGTTGCCTTCCATAGGTTTCAAACAGTCATGTAATATTTGATCTGGAAGTGATCTTAGATACCATTATAGACCAGAAATTTCTAATTCGGCCCTCTGAGAGAAGATCTCTGATTTAGGACAATCCCTCCTCTTTTGACAGATGAGAAAATGAAGAGTCAGAGAATCAGATTAATGATGGAAACGGAGGGTTGATGCTGAGTTCTGACTTCTGCTTGAATGCTTTTTGTAACCTACTTCAGCATATCCCTAGATACTCGAATCCTGGTTAGGAACCCCTGGCAGAATTGATTGCACAGAATTACATCCTCCAAGAGGGGAGAGAGAAGCATGAAATAAGATAATGCACATAAAATTCTTGGTGTGGGGCTCAGCACAGAGTAAGTGCTCAATGCATGTCCGTGCCTTTGAGAAAGTCCACATGGCTGGTTTCTGGGCCCAGTGGTGAGAACAGCTGGGCCACGACTGGGGAAGGAGAAGCAAGACACACAGGTGGAGAAGGGCTTCCTCTCCCTGAGCCTGCCATCTTGATCGACATGCCACAGTCCTTACCAAACCCCATCCACCACAGTGAAAGTAAAGTATCTTTGGAAACCTCATAACCCATCATTAAAACTGCTGGGTGTAGGAAAACAATTGTTTGCCCTAAATAAGTGACTTATGATTGCCCTTGGTTTGTTGGAGTTTTCCTTTAATTATAGGCATAAACACCCATCTCCTTCTCACTCATGTAATGAGTTTCAGCCTTGTGCATCTCAGTTAACGAGGGGCCCAGGAGAATTATGGGTATCTGAGCAGTCTTCCTGTTCCAAGTTGCCACGGGGCTCTTGGAAGAGTGGGTCCTTAATGGGGAGAAGATAATGGGCAAAAAGTGCTCTTGACTGATAGACCAGTCACAGCATTCTCTTTCCTATAATAATAGAGTTGTTCACTAGAGCCCTTCACTAAAAAAATTCCAAATTTCTTCCACACCACCGCACTTTATGCTTCAAATCATTGCGTATGCCCCTGTCCTGTCCTCTGTTCTTGCAAACTCAGTGTGGAGTCTTTTGGTTCTGGGAAGACTTTCTAGGTATTAGGAGAGACTAGGAAAACCTTCCTTCCTCTACTTGTATTTCTTGCGTGTCAGAAGAGAGAAGTGGATTTTATGGAGAGGTACAGAGCGTCTTGGGGACCAGTGCCTGAAACAGGGCTCCTCAGAACTAGATGGGAATTCATGGCTTGATGGTTTTGTCCCCACCTACCCACACTCCGCCTTCCCCTCCAGTGCCCTACATGACACCTGGTCAAGGGTTGGATGAGAGAGACTGTTGCAGGAAGTACTGGTAGTTTTCCCTGTTGCCCACTAGTCCCTCAGCACCTCCCCGGCAGGAGGACAACCACTTTCTCCACATGCTCTCCAGGCATTGGTGCTGCTCCAATGGTTGTCTTTCTTTCCCCAAGCCCTGGGTGATAGCAGTTGCCCATTGGGTGGTGTAAGTACTCCCACTGGGACCTGTTTCAAGCTCCTGTTGTGATGTCCCTGAATGGGGAGGGACTGACTGCCCAAATCCCTGAAAATTTAACGCTCTGTACCAGCCACTCAGCACACCACTGCCCCAGGGCGGACGGTGGGCCTACAGGGCCCTGGGTTTGAGAAGGGTTCTCCATCTTCCAGGGAATTTGCCCTTCTAACGACGGGACATTTTACAGGGACAGTTCTTGGTTCTGGGTCTTTTAGGGGACACTGTGATGAAGAAACAGCAGGGATGTTGTGGGGGGGGGAGTGGATGAGGAGGGCTTGGGAGAGGGGGGTCAGTGGGGAGTCTTCATTCCCAACTCCTGACCCTGACTGCTTTGAGAGAAAGGCTTGGACCCAGGGAGCAGACAGATGGCGGTCGGGGCAGGAGTAACTGATGTGTGGGGGCACTGGGGCATAAAGCTTGGGCAAAACGCGAACCGAGACACTAAGCAAGCGCTGGTTTCTCTAGCCAGCCCACGCCTCCTGCCTCAGCTCAACGCCACTCCCTCCCCGCCAAGTGGCTCTCGGTTCAGGAGGCGGGACCGAGTTCTCTGGTGGCCCCTGGAGGCTCGGGGCTGCAAGCTTTGGGAGGCTGGAAGGGGAGAGAGGGAGGGGCGCTGACTGGGCAGTCCAAAGAGGAGGGGGCCTTTAATAGGCTCGCCCAGCGCCTGGTTTGCGGCGCCGCGAGTGGCAGCGGTTCGAAGAAACGGCCCGAAACCTGCCTCTAGCTCTCGGCTGCAAATCTCCGTCCTTGCACTTGACAGCGATTGTACTTAAGCTCCCAGGGCGCGCTTTGCTTGGAAAGGCACAGGTAGGAGGCGCGGGCCGCTCGGTGCACGCTCACTGCTCTGGGAGTCTCCCTCCCTTTGCTCTGCTTTCTGGGAGCTACGGACTGCCCCGGAGCGTTGGTGGTTCCCGTGTGCCGGCTGCAAGGAGACGCGCCGGCTGCCGGGAAGCCGGGCCGAGCCCTTCCGAGACCGCGGCAGTGCGCTGCCCGGCGCCATGCTTCTGCTTGGTATCTTAACCCTGGCTCTCGCCGGGGGACCGGCTGGAGGGTCGGAGCCAGATCAGGAGGTGGTGGTCCCCATCCGACTGGACCCGGACATCAACGGCCGCCACTACTACCGGAGGGGTCCCGAAGACTCCGGGGATCAGGGACTCATTTTTCAGATCACAGCATTTCAGGAGGACTTTTACCTACACCTGACTCTGGATGCTCAGTTCCTAGCGCCCGCCTTCGCCACTGAGCATCTGGGCGTCCGCCTCCCGGAACTCACCGGGAGCTCTCCAGACTTGCGACGTTGCTTCTACTCTGGGGACGTGAACGCCGAGCCAGATTCTTTCGCCGCTATGAGCCTGTGCGGAGGTCTACGCGGAGCTTTTGGCTACAGAGGCGCCGAGTATGTCATTAGTCCGCTCCCCAACGCCAGCGCGCAGGCAGCACAGCGCAACAGCCAGGGCGCACACCTCCTCCAGCGCCGCGGCGTCCCCGGCGGGCCTCCCGGAGATCCCACCTCTCGCTGCGGGGTGGCCTCAGGCTGGAACCCCGCCATTCTGCGGGCGCTGGACCCTTACAAGCCGCGGGGGACCGGCTTGGGAGAGAGTCGCAGTCGGCGGAGGTCCGGGCGCGCCAAGCGCTTCGTGTCTATCCCGCGGTACGTGGAGACCCTGGTGGTGGCTGACGAGTCAATGGTCAAGTTCCACGGCGCGGACCTGGAGCATTATCTGCTGACGCTGCTGGCCACGGCGGCACGACTCTACCGCCATCCTAGCATCCTCAACCCCATCAACATCGTCGTGGTCAAGGTGCTGCTTCTCGGAGACCGCGACACAGGGCCCAAGGTCACGGGCAACGCGGCCTTGACGCTGCGCAACTTCTGCGCCTGGCAGAAGAAGCTGAATAAAGTGAGTGACAAACACCCAGAGTACTGGGACACGGCCATCCTCTTCACCAGGCAGGTGAGTTGATCTGTCACCTCTTTGGACCCCAATAGCCCCATTTTCTTAGGGTCACCGCCCTTAGCTCTCCAAATGCCCTTTGTGCCAAACAAGTGACCCCAGGTTAAAATTTTGTTGATCTCTTCCGACTCCCACTTTGGATCTTCCAGGGACAGGCGGCTCCTGAGCTCCGTGGAGCTTCGGCTCTAGAGCATCTGGATGCACGTGGGCGGCCGGAGGAGCGCCCGCTACTTCAGAAGGTGTTGGCCCGGCGTGGCCAATCAGCGCCTCCTCGATCAGGCGCCGAGGGGCCGGAACCCAGGAAGTTGCCGCCCCGGAGCCGCAGTGTGTCTCCGCGGCAGATAGGAGGCGCTCTGAGGATGGTGTTGGAGGGGTCGGGAAAGGTCCGCCCCTTTTCAACCCGGGCGTCTAAATCCTTTCAGATATCTCTTCGCAGGCTTCTCTTCTCTTCTTGTAAAGCTGGAAAGTGATGCAAGCATCCCCGTTCAGAGCCTGGCTTCATTTCCTCTGGGCATGTTCAGTTATCCTCTGTCCCGGGCCTGGAAAACCTGGATTGGGATGGAGGGAATCATTTGGGATATTTTGTGGTTGAAATGGAAAGGACAGACTCAAGTACCGGGAGCATTCCGTCCTTTGTTGCTGCTTCTCCCATACCCTCCTGTGCTGGCCCGCCTTTTACCTGACGGGATTCCAGTCCATTCAGAGCAGGCAATCTAGTTAGAGCACCTGTTTGGAGTTGGAGTTTCTAGTGGAGTTTCACTTGGAGCTGAGTTGGGGAAAATCTCTCAATTTTCGCATTTCCTTGTTGGTCCAGGGTGACCCGTTTGCCCTGATGTGTGCTGTGGAGCAGAACAGGCAAGGTTGCTCGTAACACCGACTCACTGAAACTTCCAATGACCACACTTAATGGTAGTGCTCCAGCTTCTGTCCCCGGCGGTGTGCAAGTGGTGTGAGCTTGGTAAAGAGCATCTGGAGACCCCAGGTGCAGGATTGGAAAGATCCTGAGTATGGGGCTTAGAAAGATGGTCAGATCACAGAAGCAACTCTGCCTTTTGCTATGGGTCTGTGAACATTTACATTCCTAGATATTGGAGTGATTGGGTACTGTGAAGTTTTTGGATTCCTGCAATTTCTCAGATTCATGGATGGGACTGGGAGGAAAACGGGCATCCAAGTGACCTGGTTCCTCCGATTTTAGGGGCTGCAGCTCGAATCTGTGCCATGCTCTTGTTTTGTTATTATCACAGCCACGTCATTCTGGGGATGGCCCAGAATCCTTGGTTGCCTGTGGGGCTCTCACTCCCCACTCTTTCCAAAGGCCACTCAGAGCTGTGCTGGCACACATGGGGCTGGAGCTAACGTCTTCCACACTAACCCATTTGGCACCGCTTGTCCCCTCCTGGAATTGAACTTCCTCCTTTCCCAGCCTTCTCCTCCCACCACCTGGTTTCTCTAGGGAGGTCTTTGGCCTGAGTCTGTTTCCTTGCACTCATTCTTCCAACTGAGGTCTGTAGAGCTGCCACTGCCCCTACACACACTGCTTGAGTCATGGGGAAACTGCAGAGGAGGTCGCTTCCACCTCTGCACACAGACCAACTCGGCAGTCAGATTACTGGGGAAAAAAAAAAGCAAAGGCCAAGAACAGGATATCTTAATGGGCAAAGCAGCTGTCGGCCCATCTGCTACCTGGGATGCCCCTGTGGAGGTCACTCTCGGCTTCTAAAGTAACAGACCTCAGTCGCCGCCGCTTAGGGGCTAGGCTGACTTTTGGAACCAGCCCTAGAAAGAGGACTCCTGCTGGGAATATGGGCCACACCACCAGAAGGATTCACCTTTTGAAGAAGCAGCAATCAAGCAGCGTGACAACTTCTGTCTGTCAGTGGTGTGTGCGAGACCCAGGGGCTATGTTAACCATGCATAATGGGGACAAGATGCACGAGCACTTGGGTCAGAAGGAGTGATGTGCAAGATGCGACTTTTAGAAGCTGTCTTTCTCTTAGGCGTCTAGAAGGCGAAGCCGGAAAGTGGGGAGGCTGTGTTGGCAGGACCGATACCCAGGTATGTGCTTAGTGCTTTAGAGGGAACATCTCTCTCTCGTCTCCCTGCTGTCGCAGACTTTAGGGCCTGCTTCATTCTCAGGGTCTTAGGAACTACTCATTCCTGAACTCCCCTGGGGAAGGTACGGTATGTGATGAGAACAGAGCACGCAGCCGCTCTCTGTAGACCAAGGCAGATGTGGTCTCCGGGAACCAGGAGTCTCCTGCTGTCCTCCAACACAAGAGGAACTTCTGTAGTACTTTGTAAGGGTTAGTAATACTCCTTTAACTCAGACATGAGCTTCCCTGATTATTATAATGTTGGTGTAATCACTGCTTTTTCAAACTAAAATTGGAATATGTATATCTATATAAATATACATATTGATTTCTATGAAGATAACATTGATCCTTGAACAACATAGGTTGAACTGCATGGGTCCACTTGTATGTGGACTTTTTCTGATACCGTACAGTACTCTAAACGTATTTTCTCTTTTGATTTTCTTAATAACATTTTATTTTCTCTAGCTTACTTTATTGTAAGAACACAGTATATAGTACATACAGCATACAAAATATGTGTTAATTTGGGGCGCCTGGGTGGCTCAGTCGTTAGGCGTCTGCCTTCGGCTCAGGTCATGGTCCCAGGGTCCTGGGATCGAGCCCCACATGGGGCTCCCTGCTCAGCGGGAAGCCTGCTTCTCCCTCTCCCACTCCCCCTGCTTGTGTTCCCTCTCTCGCTATGTCTCTATCTGTCAAATAAATAAATAAAATCTTTAAAAAAATATGCGTTAATCGACTGTTATCGGTAAGGCTTCCGGTCAACAGTAGAGTATTTGTAGTTTAAGTTTTTGAGGAGTCAGAAGTTGTATGTGGATTTTCGACCGCATGGGGTTCAGTGCCCCTAACCCTCATGTTGTTCAAGGGTCAATTGTATATAGTTTGTTTGGATAAGAAGTTTTCAGAAATGTGCTTATTTTGTTAATCACCTTTTGTCTGTAATGGATCTTGAACTGTCAGACATCTTAGGGTCACCTATTCCTTGGTCCCCCCAGAAAATTCTGAAAAATGGCTAGTTACTCTGACTGATGGTACTCTAGCTGTGGTTTTCACAGAGAGGAAGCGGGAAAGGGTTGGGCTTGGTCGGACTGTATTTCCTCCTGTGAGGAAGAGGTGAGCACAGCTCCTGGAGAGTTCCAGGTGCCGGGTACCTGAAGGGGGGGCAGTAGGAGTATCAGGACTGGCAGGCACCGGAGCTTCCCCTTCGACCCACCATCAGAGTTGTTGTGTGTTTAAACAAGGCTGGGCCAGGCTATGGGGAGACACTGCTGTCCTCTTGGCAGGCAGAGGGAGGGGCATGGGGCGTTGAAATCAAAACACTGGGAAGACGTGACCCAGGGAGGAGACTTTGCTGTGTGCAAAGGAGAAAAAAAAAAAAAAGATCAGACAACAAGTATCTTGACAACTTGAGGAGTTTACTTAAAGATTCAGATTCAGAGTAAGTTCATGTTCCTGGAGAAGGAGCACACATCTGATTTTGCAAAGCAATCAGTCTCCAGACTCATAACAGCAGGGTGAGGTCAGCACGGGACTGGAACCAGGATCTGTGGAGAATTAGAGCCAGTCTTTCTGGGTGGACATTCATTTCTGTGAGAAGAAACCTTTCTATGGCTTCTTGTTGCTGTAGGCAGCAGGAGCGGGATTTGGTGCTGGGACGTAGTAGGAGTCCCAGCTAAGCCTGAGCTGTCTTCTCTCTCTTTACCTCTGATGCCTCTGCTATCTGGGTAACTCTGTGGTAGACCTGGTTTCATGAATTTGTTCTACATTTTAAAAATACTTATTGAGCATCTGTTATTTCCAGGTACCGTCCTGGGTTGTGGAGGTACAGATAATTAGGATGTGGCTCCTGGCTTTCGGGAATTCACTGAATATCAGGGAGCCTGACAAGGAAATAGCTTGTTACACTAGGGTGTGTTAAGTGCCATGAGGGAGACATGGGCCCTCTGTCCAAAGTCCAGTGGGAGGCATTCTCCTTGCTTCGGAGCCAGGGAAGCCTTCCGGGATGGGGTGGGGGAGGGGGGACGAGGGACAGGTGGCAAGAAAGCACTGGGATGGGAGCTGGTGGCGGTGGGAAAGGAAGCTTGTTTCCTGTGTTGCAGGAGCCTCTCTCCTCCATTCCACCATCTGTTTTGCTATTTGTAACATTTTCTCCTTTGAACTGACTTGGTCTTGTAGGATTTACAGTTTGTGGTTTTTCTGCCGGCTTATTCCTTCGTTTACGTTGTCTATTCTGTTGCTCTTAGTACCACCATGTGCCGTTCCCTCATCCCCTCCTTCCCTCACCATTTTTTTCTGTGCTCTCTTTCTCCTCTTTTGAGATTCTCCAGGGCAGGCTCCTTGTCATCTTTCTCTTCTCTTTTGTTTCCTTCCTTCATGTCTTCACCCTTTCTGCCTCTCAGTCCCAAGCTTGGCCCTTACCTTCTTGTTTTGGTCTTGAGTTGGACTACATTTTGTGTGCGTGTGTGTACGTGTGTGTGTGGGGAGCGTACATGTATTCTATACCGTGCAGAGTGGAACAGCACTCTGGAACCTCATCTGAAATAGAGGCCAGTTCTTTCTATAATAAACAACTTGCCGTATGGCAGTGAAATTTAGTGTTCAATAAAAAAAGGTTAATAAAATGATAATATGTATTTTATACATATCTCCTAATACAATAAAGAGAATCGTAATTTTGTCAGGGTCTTTTTTGAAGCCAGGCCTTGGACGATATTAGCAGAGAGGGGCATCTGTAATTTCGGTATTTAAGAGTTTGTAAATTTTTATCACCAAATGGAAACTCAACACTACTTCTAGGAAGGAGGGGGGCGGGAGGAGAAAGAGAGAGGAAGGGTTGGAATACAGTTCCTCCCTGACTTGGAAGGTGGTTGCTCTTCTCTCTCCTTCTTTTACTTATACCAG